CGGGCAGGGCCCGAGGGACCCAAGGGAGAGCCCGGCATGAGGGGACCCCCGGGGCCACCGGGACCACCCGGACCCCCAGGACAGTGACTGGGACAGAGGGGCCCCAATTCCATCCCCTGGGACCCCCAGGACAGTGACTGGGACAGGGGGACCCCAATTCCATCCCCTGGGACCCCCGGGACAGTGACTGGGACAGGGGTCCCCAATTCCATCCCCTGGGAACCCCCGGGACAGTGACTGGGACAGGGCGTCCCCAATTTATCCCCTGGGACCCCCGGGGCCACTGGGACCCCCCGGATCCCCGGGACAGTGACTGGGGGGGTCTCTGATTCCATCCCCTGGGACAGTAACTGGGACAGGGGGTCCCCATTGTCACCCCTGACCCCCCCTGCAGGATGGGGGTGTAGGGGGGTATCCCAGTCGCTCTCAGTTTTCGGGCCCGAGGCTGGTCCCTGTATCCCAGGGATTGGGGTCCCCATTTCCCAGGGATTTCCCCATGTCGCAGGAATTGGGGGTCCTGGTATCCCAAGGACTGGGGTTCCCAGTGTCCCAGAGACTGGGGGCCCTTGTATCCCAGGGATTGGGGGTCCCCTGGGATGGCCTGGGGCAGGTCCCTGTATCCCAGGGATTTCCCTGTGTCCCAGGGATTGGGGGTCCCAGTGTCTCAGAGATTGGGGTTTCCTGTATTCCAGGGATTGGGGCCCAATATCCCAGGGATTTCACTGTGTCCCAGGGATTGGGGGTCTCCGTGTCACAGGGATTGGGTGTCCTGGTATCCCAGGGATTGGGGGTCCTGGTATCCCAGGGATTGGGGGTCCCTGTATCCCAGGGATTGGAGTCCCAGTGTCCCAAGGATTGGGGTCCCCATGTCCAGGGATTGGGTGTCCCCATATCCCTAGGATTGGGTGTCCTGGTATCCCAGGGATTGGGTGTCCTTGTGTCCCAGGGATTGGGGGTCTCTGTTTCCCAGGGATTGGGGTCCCCATATCCCAAGGATTGGGTGTCCTGGTGTCCCAGGGATTGAGGTCCCGGTGTCCCAGGGATTGGGGTTCCTGGTATCCCAGGGATTGGGGGTCCCCATATCCCAAGGACTGGGTGTCCTGTATCCCAGGGACTGGGGGTCTCCATGTCCCAGGGATTTCCCCGTGTCCCAGGGATTGGGATCCCCATATCCCGGGGACTGGGGTCCGATATCCCAGGGATTTCACTGTGTCCCAGGGATTGGGGTCTTGGTATCGCAGGGGTTGGGGTCCCCATATCCCAAGGATTGGGGGTCCTGATATCCCAGGGATTGGGAGTACCTGTATCCCAAGGATTGGGTGTCCCAGTATCCCAAGGATTGGGTGTCCTGGTGTCCCAGGGGTTGGAGTTCCCTGTATCCCAGGGATTGGGGGTCCTGATATCCCAGGGCTTGGGAGTACCTGTATCCCAGGGATTGGGGTCCCAGTATCCCAGGGATTGGGTGTCCCAGGGATTGGGGGTCCTGGTATCCCAGAGATTGGGGTTCCCTGTATCCCAAGGATTGGGTGTCCCGGTATCCCAGGGATGGGGTGTCCCTGTATCCCAGAGATTGGAGTACCCTGTATCCCAGAGATTGGAGTACCCTGTATCCCAGAGATTGGAGTACCCTGTAT